TTTCAGTTGGACAGTTTGTACTTTTCATGCTACGTTCATACACAACAATCAAAGGCAAGATTCTAGAGGCTTTACTCAGCCTAGCTTCTCACCAGCCTGGGGGTTTTACACTGCTCGTGAAATAAGAAACGTTTTTGTTGCTGCTTTTAAAGAAAGACAGATTACATTCAGGCCTAGGCTAGAGGAAGGAAAGCAGAAAAAAAAAAATAAGGGTGTTTGTTAAGACATTGGCCTTTCCAAGAGGAGGGCTGCAAGGGCTTGAGAAATGTCCAGAGGAGAAGCCCTCCAAAATGCACTTAATCATTATCAATAGTAGGGTTTTCCATATGCTGCTTTCCTTGCACCCTTCATCCTGCCACTGGCATATTCCTTCTGTTCTCATTATGCAGAAACTATTCAAGACTGACAAGAAAAGCTATTCATGCATACCCAATGATTGCTACGGTCACGGAGTTTTATAAGGGAATGTTTGAGGGGTAAGTATGAAGCTAGTTGTGTGCACAAACAGCATGAGGGTAGAAGATTTTTGTTGGTTCACCAAAATAATTCACCCTTAATAGGAAGAATAAATGAACTATTTGCAATAAAAACCTGAATCAAAAGTTTTGCTTTAATGACAACCTTAAATAAAATGAAATGTGTAAGAATTGACTTTAAACAACAAAGTTTTCCTGAGGAATCAGAGGGCCTTCAGAGAAGGAAAAAATCACTAATACAGCAAATATTCTAAATGCCCAGAATAACTCTTTTTCCATTTATGCTTTGATTCTGTTATCTTTATCCATCCACCCTTATCTAAGGCATTAGTGAAACACGAAACTTGTTTCAAATAGGGATGTGTGAGCACTGTACTTTGAAAGCTGTAGTTAACTAAACAGAGTCCTGCCTTTGATTAGTGCATTAAAAGCTGCATGACTCCAGCCCCACACTGCCATAATTCTTCTGGACCTTGTCTTCCATTTACAGATGGTAAAATCACACAGGGCGCACGGAAAAACAAAAAACTTGGCATATTTGGAACATTCTCACTTGGACCTAGTAAAGTCAGTATGCCCATTAGGCTGTGAAGGTTTCATTTACAAATGAAATATTTTCTAAAGTGTCTGAGTCACACATGAGCCTAAAGGTAATTTTTTCATCATGTCCACATGATTCAAGAATTCTGTTTTCCAAAACCCCAAAGATTGTGAAAGCACAAGGATGTGGGTGGTTTTAACATGTGACCATTCTGAGTCGACAGAAGAACAATTTTAATACTATTTATTCTGAAACAACAATGCTACCTCAACCTGTAGGAAAATAATTTTCAGTGGCTCTTAGTATAAAGCTAACAGAAACAAATGATAACTACAACAACGAAAGAAAAAGAAAATTTCATTTGCAGTTGCTCTTTGGCATTAACCTACTATCTCAAAGTTAAAAATTATGGAGAAAATCAAGAGAAAATTCTAACTGAACTGCAGAGTCCTCAGTTGCCTTAACTGACTTGCAAAAATATTTCTCAGTGTTTGTTCTCACAGAAGGTTATTGTAGTTATTACCTGCTTTTAAGGAGATTACACAAGGAAGATGGTACACCAGGTTGGGGAAGGGAAAATAATATAGATTTTCTTCTTTCAGTATATATATTTTGCTATCTATTAGGACCAGAGGTTTATTTTGTCATACTTATAAAGCTATGGAGGGAAGTGGGGATATGACCTTTCATTATAGTGGTGAGTTTTAATCCACCAAGTAAATGGGTACAGAATGCAAATATGCATCAGGAAGCTGTGGTAGAAAACGATGTATAAAAAGCAAATCTGCAGCAAATCTCTGGCAGGCCAGACTACTGTGGGGCTATCGCTGAAGAAAAAGCATCATATTTAAATATAAGAGAGGTGGAAAACACGTATCACACAACGGTTGAGGTTGGAGGGGACCTCTGGAAGTCATCTAGGCCAACTTTCCTGCTCCAGCAGGGACACCTACAACACTTGGCCCAGGACTGCGTCCACTGTGCGGTGGTTACGTTGTGCAGCTTCCGGACAGTCAGTACACAAATCTGGTTGAAAAAATGCCCTGTCCATGCACAGAAGGCAGCAAATCCCCCTTTGCCTCCTCCTCGGCATGGTCCCCACTTCCCTCTTGTGTGAGCGATGCTACCCGGTGTTAAATTACACATATATATCAAGTAGGACCTTTCCTCTGAAAGGAAAAACTGTAATCATGCAGTAACATAATTTAGCCTATTCTTATAATTAAAACAATGAATGAAGTATCATCATTTTAAACAGTTCAAACTGTGCTTGCTCTAAGAGAGTACATCATTATTCACTTTATTCTCAAAGAATAACACAGCCTTAACAAAACGTTCTCCTTCCTGTGGCAAGGGGAATGTAATATTTATCAGCACCGGCTTCCAGCGCACCACAATCAATCATCTCAGAGCATATTGTGAAGTAAAGTGGCGACAATCTAGATAATAGCACAGCAAACTAAGTTACAAGAGGAAACAAATAGCTAACCGGATTAAGAAGCTCCCAGTTCCATCTTAAAGTCTGCCAACTTTGTCATCCTCTTTTCTTTTTCTTCTTTTTTAACTTTTTAAGTTATGTAGGTGCCTAGAATAGAGTCTTTAGCTAGGCATGCACTAACACAACCTAATGCCTTTAATTCTAACACCTCCTGAGTCTTCTGTAACGATTCTCTGATTCCTTTACTGCTTCTCAGACATTTCTCATAGAGAATTGAGCTCAGGATGAAGTCTGAGAAATAGCAGGGTTTTTTTTTTTTTTTTTTTTTTTTTTTTTTGCACTTCTTCAGTACTACCTGTCTTATGTCCACTTATTAAAACATACATGTATATATGCTTGGGAAACACATAGGAAAAAAATGCAGTGAATAGACTAGATTCGCTACAGAAATTGTGGGAGGTAACCCACAATGGCAATAACATTGGCCTGAAAAGTTAAACCACTTACTTACCCACTCCCTCTCTGCTTTTCCACATACAAGCACACATATCTTACTTGATACAACTCTCTGGCAGGCAACGAACACAAACTTACATTAGCATAGTGAGGCCACCACTCACTCTAAGAATTGGTTTTCTCCTCCCTGCACTTTACCAAATTGTTTTCTCTTAGTATATCCAATTACCACACCAAAATACTCACAGCTGTTACTGTTGGAGAAAAATGCTCTGCTGAACAGAGGAACACCTGGTAGAATAGAACTGAAATTTACTGATTTATGATAAATAACAGTTTCAATCAAAGGGTATATTTTTTGCTGGGACAAAGAATAATGTGTAATATATTGGTAAAGCTTTCTGTTCCTTGGCTTATGCAACATTTTCCTAATTGTGGCATATACAACAATTCTAACTTCTCCACAAATACTTTTTTTTTTTGCCTGTTATCATTAGAGGTAGTTCAGGATCTCTTTCAAGAAGTGTTTCTGGCCGAAAAAGCTTTTTGTCACACCAAACTATCTTTGAAATAATTTCAGTTTTGTAAAAAACAGAAATCCGTTTTTCAGTTTGGAAAACTATGTGATGGCTTCTAGGTTGCTCACTTGAAAGGCACTCGAGCAATTTTGCTTGCTCTGTAACTAAAGCATTTCAAGTAGGGCTGCTTGTGTCCTGCCTGAGCACTGGAGAGCTCAGGCCTTCCCCATTTGCGCCGGTCCCTTCGCAAGCCCTGCACTGCCCATCCAGATCCACAAGCTGCAGCATGAGGCAGTGAGGCTGCCGGCCTGATTCCTTGCTGCGCTGGCAACTAGATTAGGAGGTTCTTTTCCAGTTCCAACCATTAGATAAAGAGTCTTCCAAGTGGGGAAATTCTCATTCTGACCTCTCCCAAAATCATTTTCTAGTGGAATTCTTTTGCAGGAAATACTTTCTTCCACACTAGCTGGGACTGGCCTTCCAGGAGACATTTAGTTACACACTACGATCATTGCCTGGTTGGAGAAAACTGAAGAAGTTGGCTCCAAAGAGTTGAGGGATGTGGAAGGAGGCTTCAAACTGGGATTAGAGTTCTGTGCTACTAAGAAAGCATGTAGGGTAATCATGTTCACACTGCTCTCTCCTACCAAAAAATGCTAGTAGAAGTGACTCTTACCTTGAAACCACAATATTTGAACAGAGGTGAATAATGGACAATCCTAAACCACACACCTTCATTTTAATTTTCTCACATAAAATCTTCTCATATAAATCAGTCTACCTATGCTTATGTGGAATACACATTTGAATTTCACTTAAAAACACTCTTAAGTGGATCCATATCTGAGAAACTGATCAAATCTAAGAAGCAAAACTATACACCTAAAGAAATCTAGGCATAGCAGGATTCAATCTGTTGCTTCCTTCTGGTATACCACTAACATTTAGGCAAACTGTGTCAAAACTCGTCAGCAAGGTGAACAAAAATTCACCTCCACTACTTCTAAAGAATGAAACTAAACGTGTAATGCAGCTTTAAGTAGTAGTAGAAACTGATGAAGGATGAATATTTCTTTCTCAGAAAAAAAGAGATTTGACTGGTCAAATCATAAAGCAGATCCAGATTTGGCAGAGAATCTGTAAGACAGCTGTGCTTTACCCCTTTTCACTACTTGAAATACATTAATGCGGCATTGAGGATCCTTTAAAGTATATACAACTACAAAGGACTTTTTGATGGATAAGCATATAAGGGAAGGGTAACATGTGTTGATCCTGGCAATTCAAAGTATGCAGGAATGTAGTTATCTTGCAGTCTGTGAAGTAAAGCTTCAGAAGCTACATTTGAGCACTTGCTATTCTCTTATAATCAATGCAATTAGATAACTTAAGTCACCCAGCCTCCCCTTTTCACTAAATCAAATAGTATCCTTTAAAGAAGCAGAATCTTCAGAGCAGAATGTTCTTGTCAAAAGGAGCAGCTGATTGCTCTTACAGCACCTAGGATTTTGTATGTGGTTGACAAGCAGAGTGAGGCACTTCTAGCTGGATATGAACAAGCATCCACTTACTGTTGGTTGCATAACATATGGCGGATGAGGCATCCATGAAGTACTCTGGACCTGCATATCAAAAACTTTTTATTAGCATAGGAAAGTAAAAAGCAGAACTCCAATGAATTATCTACAATATTTCTTTCTTTCACAACTAGGGAATTAATTTTGATAAAAGGCCTAAGTAATGTAACATAAGACAGCATTCATTTATGCTTCATAAAATTATTGACTAAGAAAAAAAATCCTTTCAAATTTCAATTGATATTTTTCCACTAAACGCAGAAGTCTGTGAGACTGCACCACCTCTAAGACCTGCATTGTTTTTTCTCATACAGCTGTCTTCAATATTCCATGTTGTCCTACTTTTTCATTTGTATTTTGTTTGCTTTTATCTATCAATGTAGTCATGAGTATATCGTCCAATTGACAGTGTACCAGACATGGTACAAATTGCTCAAAGTTTATTTTCAAAAGTATCTCTACATACCTTCAAAGGTGTAATATTTTCAGAGATTCCAGAATAATTTATACCATTCAATAAGAGCTACAGATCTAGTTCAAAGCTTTTGAAGCTTATTCTAATTGAAAGCTACCATGTCAAAGCTGCCTTAAAATGTTCCTGTCTCCCAGGGCAGCTCTTACCTTGGCATAGTGGGGTCCATTCCCACCAGAACTCCACTAAAACCTTTCTTTGCTGTTCTGTCTCACTAGCGACATCCAAAAGATTTCATGGATATATATATATATATTTTCTAACGCTTAAACTTGTAAGATATCTTGTGCATTTGCGGTGGCATATCCAAGTCTGCTTCCTCTTGTGCTAGGTGTGGGTGACCCACATGTCAGCATGTGGCGGGCATAGCTTAGATCCGGCTCCAGAAACTGTGTGTCCTAGATTCCTTTTGCACCAGTCCAGGCATTTCGGCACACAGGAAGGATACAAAAATACACCTTTGCTGCAGACATCTGTGGAGATTTCAGTGGTTAACCACAAACTCAGAGATGGCCGTGTGGCATCTCAGACAGTGTAAAAAGGGACAAGTAGGAGTAAGTTACACAGCCCCGACTCTTCAGATGCCCTGTGATTTCATTCATGAAGCAAGATTTGAGAATTAATTGTATAATTACAATGTGCTTCAATGCTTCTTTTTATGATGAAGCTGAATGAAATAGATTTCTTGTTGAAAAGCAAGTTGAGTGTAGTAACTTTAAAATGAAACTCATTTACTACCCACAGTATGGGGTAGACGTGCACAGACACATCTGCTGCACTTTTTTTTACTGTGAATCCCCATTAGAAAAAAAAAAGAAAAGAAAGAAAAGAAAAAGAAAATGTTAGAGGTGTCACTGCTTTCTGCTGTTCCTTGCTCCTGTCAGTTCCTCAGCCATGCCAAAGAAAATGTCTTTGGACTTCAACTGTAAACTACATATGGAAAATGATCTGAGTATTAAAAAAAAAAAAGATAACCAATGGCCTATACTGCAGACACATCACAGCAGGAACTGAACTGTGGAGAAGGGAGGGGAATAAGTTGCTGCATATGAGACAGAGGAACCTCTTAAGCCAGATTTGCTACTGAGAAACGCATAGGTGAGGTGCATTTGGAAATTACTGATACTACCAGGTCTTCTGGAACTTTAGCATTTGTGTTGCCACCTACTGAAATTTAGTGAACTTATCCAAACAAATTTTGCTTGAGAAATTTAACATAGCCTTCCAGGATTAAAGAATATAAAAGTCAAGAAAGTCTTAACATAAAAAACAATCCACCATTCAACTTGATAATTTTGGACAGCTTTTCTCAGATAGAACTCAGTCTTGGAAGAGCAGTGATGCTACAGGACAGCAATAACTGAAATGGGAAAACAAATAGGCAGTGATCAGCTTCACAATGGAAGTGATATGTTCCCAGAGAATGGCTAATAAAAAAACTATACAACCAAGTTCTGACTTCCACCTCAGCAAGCCAGGGCAATAATTTCCCAGTGGAGACCTGTGAGCGATATGCTCAAAAGAGAAGCTCTGAAAGACAAAGCATGTGGGAGACTGAAGAAGGACATGAGGACAATTATTCCAAAGTACCTTGCTTGGTTAGAGATTATTGGATAAAAATGAATGTTATTAAAGGATGCCGCTACTAGAACAAATACAGCTATGGTGAAAAGGTCAAACCACAATGCAGCCAACATGAATTATAAAAAGATGCATTTTATATATATATTTTTTTACCATTGAAAGGAAGTCAAATGACAACATTTCATTAAGAATGATAAGTTTCTACCACTGTCAACTGAAAATGCTATTTAATGACTAAAATAAATAAATAAAAAGATGGGGTTTATTGCTTAGCATAAAGAAACACAAGGAATACTCAAAACCCTACACCGAATGATACCTGCGTAGTCCTAAAAAGCCTTTTGTTGGAAGTGTGATGCAAGAGTGCAAGCACTCACACAACTTCCTCACACTTTGCCTTCATCTGCATCCAAAACCTATTTAAACGGGAGACGTAGCAGACAAGTGACACTCCGACGTACCTGATATGTAGAGACAGGGGAAGCAGCGATGAATGGCGTGATTGATGTCTGTGGAATCATGCGGTTTGTTGCAATACTGTACGGTGAGGAATAAAATCTGCAAACAAAGAACAAAAGGAAGAGTTTTGAACCCTTTGACTGCTAGACTCCAACTGACTAATTTACTGCCTCCCAGGCAAAGACAGAAGAAATGTGCCCAGGTAATGATGTCCATCTATTTCCAAAAACACAATAAAAAGGATGTCATAGCTCCACTAAGTAAATCTTGGCAATGGAAAGGAGATGGAATATTTACACAAGCATTTTTTTTTCCACTTAAACTACCAGAATTATAGAACCTTGCAATACAAAAAGTAGTTATTTAAAATGTAAAGACAGACGATTTTCCAGAGTGCTATCTAGTGATAGGAAATTTCTTTCACAATATCAAAGACAATGATACTGATTCATTTATACATACAGTAATGTTTTCTTTTCAGATCTTAACAATTTAGTGTTTCAGGCATATATATTATGCCTGAATTATTTTATTAAGGGATGATTATAGAAACTGAATGAAATTTTCATATTCATCTCAATAGAGTATTAGACACCCATCTTTCAGAGAAATTTATCAAGAACTATGAGTCTAAATGCTCCAGGCAGCATTGAAAATTTCAAATATAGTTGTTTTTATTTCCGCTGTTGCATATTATGAACAAAAGTTGTGTCATTTCTTGCTTCCTGGTAATAAATACTGTATTTTTTCTCTT